TGAGATGGGTGGGCTTCAACTCCCAGAATTCCCCAGCCAGAAGGCTTTGTGAGATGGGTGGACTTCAACTCCCAGAATTCCCCAGCCAGAAGGCTTTGTGAGATGGGTGGACTTCAACTCCCAGAATTCTTCAGCCTGAAGGCTGTGATGGGTGGATTTCAACTCCCAGAATTCCCCAGCCAGCATGCTTTGAGACGGGTGGATTTCCACTCCCAGAATTCCTCAGCCTGAAGGCTGTGATGGGTGGACTTCAACTCCCAGAATCCCCCAGCCAGAAGGCTTTGAGATGGGTGGACTCCAACTCCCAGAATTCCTCAGCCAGAAGGCTTTAAAATGGGCAGACTTCAATTCCCAGAATTCCCCAGCTGTTTCAGATATTCAGGGATTTGAAATCCCGCCTCAATTCAAGGGGCCATATTTGAGAAACACTGTTCTAAAAGGGACCAAATATCTTTTTAACGCTTTAAAATGCAAACTCACCTTTTGGTGAAGATGAAATAGTTCGTTAGCCGAGTAATAATGGCCGATAGCAGCCCGCCATCTTTGAGGATCTGCAAAAGAAGTAGGAGACTGGAAGCAGTTTGCATGGGGAGGAAGAGGAGGAAGAGAGAACAAGAAAGGGAGGCTCTTTGCAGCAGCAAAATGGAAACGAAACAGGTCAGCTGCTAGCAGGAAAAACAAATCCCTTGCCCAAATTAAAAATTCCTATTGCATTCTTACCATTTCCCCGAAAATACAACCTACCCAGAAAGTAAGCCCTAGCTTGATTTTTACACGAGCCCAATATAAGCCCTCCCCCAAAATAAGCCCTAATTAAAATCCCACCCACTCCAGAGTAGATGGGTAAAAATTAAGCCAGGGTGGGGATGAGGGGTGGAGCTTCCCTACTACTTACCTTTGGACAGGTGTAGCCAGGCCCTGCACACCCCGACACCTGCCTTGCGGGCCCATTTCTTCTGCAGCCGGCAAGGCTGGCAAGGCTTTCCTGAAGGCCTCTGGAGCGGATAACAAAGCTCTGGATCGATCCAGAGCTCAGTTTTGGCTGCAGAGGCCTTCAAGACGCCATCTTGGCTTTCGTCGGCTAACGGTCGTAACCCGAGGCTGCCCCGTCCCCGACTCCTCTTCCGTCGGGGGCAAGGCGCGACCCAGATCCCGGGTGGTGCGTTCGTTCGGTTCGTTGGGCGATTCCCTTCGATGGTTATTGGTCTTTCAAGGAATGTTGGCGTTCCTTTTTACGTGTTTCCCCCAAAGGCAAGGCAGAAACTCTGCCGCATCTTCCTCCCGGCTATAAATTATTGCCTTTGCGAGTAAGATTAGATGGGGGGGGTCTAATGAGAGGAGGGGGGGACATTTTTTTCTTTTTCTTTTTTTTTAAAAGCAGCTCCTGGATTGGATTTTTATCAGATTTTTCAGGCCATTTTTCAGGCTGTTTTAAGGGGCCGCTTTTGGAGCATTTTCTGGGCCATTTGGGGGGTATTTTTCAGGCCATTTGGGGGCCATTTTCTGGCCATTATGTGGGCATTTTTCAGGCCTTTTTTCAGGCCCCCAAAACAATCTGGAAATAGACTGGAAAATGGCTCCAAAAAAGGCCTGGAATAGGCATGTGCACACCAGACAGCTGGTCTTCATGGGTGCCAGAGTGCCAGAAAACAGCCTAAAAAATGGCCTGAAAACAGGCCGGGTTTGGGGGGGGCTTTTTCACGCCATTTGGGGGCAGTTTAGCGGCTGGTTTTCAGGCCGGTTTTGGGGCCATTTTCAAGCCATTTTGGGGGTTGTTTTCAGGCCATTTTGGGGCTGTTTTTGACCCAAAAAACTGGCCTGAAAACAGCCCCCAAACCAGACTGAAAATAGCCCCAAAAACGGACTGAAAAAAAGTCTGTTCTTCAGTTTTCCAGCATGCACATACATGCGCCTTCCAGTTTGGGCACTTGGTGCCGAAAAGGTTCGCCATCATTGTTTCTAGGTGTTTTTACTTAATCTGCTTTTATAATAATGATGATGATGATAATAATAATAATAATAATAATAATAATAATAATAGCAGCTGTCCGTTTTGCAAGAAAGAAATTTCACTGCCAGAGCTTAAGCAGACCTAAGCCAGACAATCCAAGAAAGGAATTCTTCAGAAGAGAAATCTTCAGCTAAACTTTTCTGTTAAGACAAATTACCTTTTGGATGAATCTGGGATAATGAGCTTCTGGAAAGATGCCTGCAAATTTAAGACAGGAAATCAGACGATTTGTTCCAAAAGGTTTCCATGCCACGAAAACATTTTTTTTTATCCGGGGGGGGGGGGGGGGGGGGGTTACGCTAAGATGAACTGCGGCGGGAGATGGGGGCCAAAACAGGTCAGCGATCTGTTTAAATTGCATTTAAATTGCATAGAATCCTAGGGCTGGAAGGGACCTTAAGAGGTCATGTAGTCCAACCCCCTGACCGAGCAGGAGACCTTATGCTATTCCGGACAGATAGCTGTCCGATCTTTTCTTGAAAACCTCCAGCGATGAAGCACCCACAACTGCAGGAAGCAAACCGCCGCGCTGATCAACGGTTCTGTCAGGAAATTCCTCCTGATTCCCAGACTGGATCTTCCTTTGGAGATCCACCCGTTGCTTCCTGTCCTGTCCCTGGGTGCAACCCCGTCTTCCGCGACGGCCCCTCAAGTCTTGGAAGAGAGTTATCGTGTCCTGCCCTAATCCTTCTCTTCCTTGGCGGTTCCCCTCATATGATTTCATCGGGTTCTTTCCAGCAAGAATGTCGAAGGAAGAATGGGAAATGGGAGTGGAGTGGAATAGAAAACAGAATTAGAGTTAGAGTTAGAATAGAATAGAAAATAGAATTAGAATAGAATAGAATAGAATAGAAAAGAAAAGAAAAGAAAATAGAATAGAAAATAGAATTAGAATTAGAGTTAGAATTAGAATAGAAGAATAGAATATAGAATAAAATATGGAATGGAATAGAATAAGAATAGAATCTTTATTGAACAGAGTAGAGTAAAATAGAATAGAATAGAATAGAATAGAATAATAAGAATAAGAATAGAATCTTTATTGAACAGAATAGAATAGAATAAGA